ACAAGAGTCGAATTTGAAGGATTTTTGAAGGTTCCTAAAATAATAAACATCATTTATGGAAAAGTATTTTATATTATTAAATAGGAACAGATTTTGTTAGTCTTATAATGTTTTTAAAATGCAGACTTTCTAATGTGAGTATCTGAATTGAATTTAGATATGAGATTATGAAATTATTAATTATTAATACTCTTTTGGTGAAAAGGAATATTAAAATGTATTTTTAGACTTTACCCTCTATGTGACAAGCAACTGTTATTGCCTTTCCATTTAATTAAAATTTCTAATTACATTTTTATCTATGATAAAAAGCACAAAACTTAAAATTCAACAGTTACCACCATTAAACTTGAAGCATTTTCACGTTAAGGTCTCTGTTGCTCATAAACCAACCATCGATGCTGTTATGGATTATCATTTCAATTAAAAGATTGTTTATGATCCCCATAGATATAGATAGAAATGAAGCCCGACCAATGGGAATTCCAACGCCGATGTAGAACATTTCATATTAAATAAAATCCTGTGCACCTGGGAAATCAAATTTTGGCTCAGGTTGTATTTATTATGACACCTTAGGACTTGTGTTTTATGGATTCAAGATGAGAAAATCATTAAAAATCTGCTTGTCACATTAGGAAATCATTTAAAATTACTCCCTCAGGGATTATCATTAGCAATATATTTTAAGAACTTTTCCTACTCTGACCATCTTATCTTTACGTGACACGTGATTTCCGTAGTTAACTAGAGAATTCAGTGTTTAGGAAGATTATGATGTTGAGAAATCCTCCTGAGACAATTTCTTTCATCACTGAGATTTTCCCCCAGATAGGAAGTTGTTTTTCTTTTTTTTAATCTGCAAATATACTCACTTTTTCTCAAGCCACTTTCCTTACTGTCAGTCTTTTGCAGGTTTTCAGCACATTTAAAAAGAGAAAACCTAACTATTTATACCTAAAAAGACTCAATAAACCAAAGTAAAAAATAAAAGCTTGAGACCTGAGGTCAAAGAATCAAACCCAAATAAGACTGGAGTTTTCCAGTGAAGTACCTAAGAAATCTAAAATTCAAACTCAAGGTCATGGCATGGAAGGAAATAAATATACATTTTATCTTTACATAACAAATCATTTCTAGGGCAATTTTCCTACTAGAAATAATAATTATCTCCATCAGTTGCTCCAGGGCAGTATCATCAAGCTGATAATGCACCTGCGTCTCTGCCAATCACACTGCCACAAAAACGGAGGGGAAGTGTCTGCTGCTCTATAGTTCTGTCTCTAAGTCTGTGAAATAGCCATTGTCTCCATGGCAATCTGTATTGTAGACAGCTATCCTATCTTTTCTTTTCTTTTTTTTTTCAGTTTAATTTTATGCTTTCATATAGCTCCATTTTAAAATATTTTCTTTAATTACTTTTCCTTTATTCCTCCAATTATATATATGCATTTCCACAGAGCTATCTTGTTTTTATATAATTAGAGGAAACTAGAAAGATAGGTTCCCTCTATATAAAAATGAGATAGCTTTGTGGAAATGCATATATGTTATATACATATATATACTGTATAGAAAATATAACTGATATTTGAGTAGAGTCATTATGTAAAAGAAAATTGACCAACAGAAGACAAAATTCTTTGGAAAACTATCAAGTGCTGGTTACAATAATGTATAGAGATGCAATGTATATATTAAATAAAACACATAAAATTATTTAGACATTTAACAAGTACTGATTGCAACAAAACACAGCATTTTTTTAGCTTTTTTGAATATATAGTAATTTTTTGATGTTTGAAGTTCTGAGAAAAGACCAAATTTTCATAATAATATCAGTTGTTAATCTTTTTGTGACTCTCAATATTATTGTTTAACTACTTTCTTTTCTTCACTCAATCTTTTAGTCCTATCCAACCTGCTAAGAACAAACAGTATCTATTCAACCATTTTAATCATCAAAGTAAAATTTCAGGAAGGTTACTCTTGTAAAAACTCATGTGTGGATAATGATGATTTTGTGAAGAAAAAACAGTGTTATTTGCTTTCAAGATTCCCTCCAATGGGATCTATTTTTGTTATTTTGCCATGCAAATAATGAATGTGTCTGAATATGGGATAGATAATTTGAGAAGGAAGTACATCTTTTACAAAATACTAAAAAGTTTTGAGAAAAACACACTGATAAAACCACACATATATGAAGTCATAATTCATAACTGACTTAACGCTGTAAGTCTACAGTGTTAAATATTTTCAGTACCCAGAAATATATGGTGAATAAGTAGAAGTGAGTAAGTCTTATGAGACCTGATGGTTTTATAAATGGGAGTTCTCCTGCACAAGCTCTCTTATCTGTTGTCATATAAGATGTGACTTTGTTCCTCATTTGCCTTCTGGCATGATTGTGGGACCCCCACAGCCATGTAGAACTGTGAGTCAATTAAACCTCTTTTCTTTATAAGTTACCTAGTCTTAGGTATGTCTTTATGAGCAGTATGAGAACAGACTAATACAGTAAATTATTATGGATAGAGTGGGGTGCTGCTGTAATTATACCCAAAATTGTGGAAGCTACTTTATAGCTGGGTAACAGGCAGAGGTTGGAACATTTTGGAGGGCTCAGAAGACAGGAAGATGGGAAAAGTTTGAAACATCCTAGAGACTTGTTGAATGGCTTTCAACAAAATGCTGATAGTGATATGGACAATGAAATCAAGGTTGAACTGGTCTAGGAAGGAGATGAAGAACTTGTTGGGTACTGCAGTAAATATCACTCTTGCTATGCAAAAAGAGTGGTGGCATTTTGCCCCTGCCCTAGAAGTCTGTGGAACTTTGAACTTGAAAGAGATGATTTAGGGTATCTGGCAGAAGAAATTTCTAAGCAGCAAAGAGGAAGCAGAGCAAAAGTCTGACCATGCAATAGAAAAGAAAACTCCATTTTCTGAGGAGAAATTCAAGCCAGCTGCAGAAATCTGCACAAGTAACAAGGAGCAGAATGAAATGTTAATCACCAAGACAATGAGGAAAATGTCTCCAGGGCAGGTTAGAGACCTTTAAGGCAGCCCCTCCCATCACATGCCTGAAAGTCTAGTAGGGAAAAATGGCTTCATGGGCTGAGCCCAGACACCTCTGCTCTATTCAGCCTCAGGGCATGGTGCCCTGCATCCCAACTGATTCAGGTTTAGCCATAGGTAAAAGGGGTCAACATAGAGCTCAGGCCATTGCTTCAGAGGGTGCAAGCCCCAAGCCTTGGTTGCTTCCATGTGTTGATGGGCCTGTTGGTACACAGAAGTCAAGAATTGAGGTTTGGGAACCTGTGCCTAGATTTCAGACGATGTATGGAAATGCCTGGTTGTCCAGGCAGATGTTTGCTGCAGGGGCAGGGCCATCATGGAGAACTTCTATTAGGGCAGTGCAGAAGAGAAATGCGGGGTTGAGGGCCCCGCAAGGAGTCCCCACTGAAGAACTGCATACTGGAACTGTGAAAAGAAAGCCAGCATCCTCATTACCCCAGAATGATAGATCCACCAATAGCTTGCACAGTGCACCTGGTAAAGCCACAGACACTCAACACCACTAACTGAGAGGGAGGCTGTACCCTGCAAAGCCACAGGGCAGGGCTGCCCAGGACCATGGGAACCCACCTTTTGCATCAGAGTGGCCTGGATCTAACACATAGAATCAAAGACGAACGTTTTGAAGATTTAAGATTTGACTGCTCCACTGGATTTCAGACTTGCATGGAGCTGGTAGCTCCTTCATTTTGGCCAATTTCTCCCACTTGGAATGGCTGTATTTACCCAATGCCTGTACCCACTTTGTATCTAGGAAGTAACTAACTTGCTTTTGATTTTACAAGCTCATAGGCAGAAGGCACTTGCCTTGTCTCAGATGAGACTTTAAACTGTAAACCTTTGAGTTAATGCTGAAATGAGTTAAGACTTTGGAGATCTGTTGGAAGGGCATGATTGGTTTTGAAATATGAGGACATGAGATTTGGAAGGGGTGAAGGGTGGAACAATACAATATGCCTGTGTCTCACCCCAAATCTCATCTTGAATTGTAATAATCCCCATGTGTAAAGGGCGGGGCCAGATGGAGATAATTGAATCATGGCGGCAGTTTCCCCCATACTGTTCTCGTGGTAGTGAATAAGTTTCATGAGATCTGATGGTTTTATAAATGAGAGTTCCCCTGCATAAGCTCTCTTGCCTGCTACCATATAAGATGTGGTTTGCTCCTCATTTACCTTCTGGCATGATTGTGAGGCCCCTACAAACATGTGGAACTGTGAGTGAATTAAACCTCTTTCCTTTATAAAGCACCCAGCCTCTGGGAACATAGTCCTAAACCTGATAACTTGTCTAACATAGCTCTCCCCAGTATGACTAACCACCGCACTCTGTATTCACCTCCATCTGTTTCCAACATGTCCCATCCTTCTCAAAAAGCAGGGTCTATTCTCCGTATTTAGGACATCATTTATGAGGTATAAATTATTCATGTTATGCATCTCATCTGGAGTGTTTTCTCTCCAGCCCATAGAAGTATTCAAGGCCTAAAAGCAGAGGAGACAAACAGCTGCCTGCAAGTAAAACAGGGCTCAGAGATACGTTTTTTATGGCCCACATAGTGACCAATAATTTAAAAACTGAACATTTTTATATAAATCCAGATTTGCATTTTCAACTGAAAACCTGGAACGTGTGGTTGCACTGTCCCTTGTGGAAATAGTTGGCTGGAGCTGAGCAGCTCTGGAAGCTTCTTGGTGGGGCAGGGTATGTGCTCCTTGGTCTAGCCCAGTTTTCATTTCTTCTTGTTTCTTAGCCTGGGTCCCTATAGGCACTTCAACTTTTGATCTCTGATATGAAAGAATGAAATTCTAGTAGCAAAGAGTGGAAAATCTCTGAAGACTCATTCATAAAAGCAAGTTTCAACATTGTCTGTTATAACAGCGCCTAATCTAAATAAAGTAAACCACAAATTTTTCTGTATTTAATCACCCTTATTACTACAACTTTATCAACATTGATTGAATCCCATTTTGTACCAAGCATTAGATAAGGAAATGTGGACAAAGAGAAGAGTAAGGTATATTTCTGCCTTCCCATAATTAATCATGTAGTCCATCTAACAGAAATCTAAAGAAGGTATTTTAATACAATGCAATAACAGAGATATGTACAAAACTCACCAAAAGAAAACCTCTGAGCATTAGCTATATTATATTCAAAGAGCCAACTTATCCTTAGATATTATTAATGAATAGATGACAGATTTGATGGTTTTTATCAATTTAGTTTTTACAACAGTATTATAAACACCAACGTCATAATTGAGGACTATGAACTACTCAAAGTCATAATTATATTTTTGCATGACTTATAAAATGTTTGCCTCAATAATCGTGAAGCACTAAGAAATAAGTATTGTACTTTAGAATATAACTAAACTTTTTTATTCCTAACCTGTTATTTACCTGCCTATCTTAAAGAAACATTTTGGATATTTGAGTTAAGTATCTATTTGATAAATATTATATGAATAGGTTGCTACAGGCATCAGTGTTTTGGAAAATTTTTCAAATATAGTGAAACCTATTTATTTCTAATTTAATTCAAATAAGATGGATTTTGAACCATCTCAGGTTAAATCTGTGGAACTTGAAGATAACTTAAAGGAGTTTGAAGGTAGGAATTATTGTACTTCAAACTCATGTCAATCTAAAGACAATTCTGACCTTTAGTTTTGGGTTTTTCATCAAGGCAAGATCAATCTCTCTCTGACCCATTAATCTGTCTTTCCCCCTTAACCACACCCTTTCAAATTTTAAATATTTGAAAAGAGCTATCATACCTTCCTCAAAAATACACTTATTCAATAATTTCCTATAAGTAAAAATGTCTTTAGATCATGCATATAGCTTGATTATTTTTCTGTATCTTTTAAATATTCCTTGTAAAATATAGTATTTAGAAAAAATGAAGTATTCTAGATTGTGGATGATCAGATCCAAGTTTGGCAGAATTATTTTTCTTGATATAGACAATATTATTTCTGAGCAAGCTTTACATCTAATAACTATTTTTGGTAGTATATCATACTTCAGGTGCACAATGAACTCAAATTATCCATTTGTTTCTTCTTAGTACAATATTTGTCTTCGTCCACTAAATCACATGATTAGATAATTATTTGGTATATATGATAAACCTATAGTTCTAATGGCAGCATTTGTATAAAAGCTGTGGATTTCAGGTTCCTTGAAATAAATATTCAGTCTACCTTTCAAGCACTGTCTTCATTGAGTGTAACACTCACTCACTACAGGACACTTTTCATGGTATAGAGTCTCTGAGGACCAAGGAGTCCTGGAATCATATATAATCTCATCACCCAATGATTTGCCCTATGATAGAACTTCATGATATTATTTTAACCAAAAATCAGATTCACTATTATAGAAATTACCCTATCGTTGGACGTGACTAAGAAAATAGTCATGAGCCTGATGTTAAAGAGGAAAATCCAAATAATGACATGTCATTGTTTATCTTAGTGATAACTGCATACAATTTTATACTGTAAATAACTGAAAATAAACATGTTAAAGCTTGCAGTAGACTGAATACTGGTCTCCCAAAGATGTCCATGTCCTAATCCCTGGACCTTTAAATGTTACCTTAGTGGCAGAAGAAACCTCACAGGTATGATTTGGTTAAGGGTCTTCAGATGAGAGGATTACTCTCACTACTTGGGCAAGCCCAATGTACTCACAAGAGTCCTTATAAGCGGAAGAAGGAGGGTCAGGGCAGAGAAGGACATGTGACAGTGGAAGCAGAGATCAGAGTGAAATGGGGCCACAAGACAAGAAATACAGTCAGCCTCCAGAGCTGGAAAAAGCAAGAAAATGGATTCTCACCCACAGCCATCAAAAGGAGTGGAGCCCTGCTTTCCCATTTTGCATTTCTGACCTCCAGAATAAATGTGTGTTGCTTTAAGTCACTAAGTGTGGTAATTTGTAACAGCAGCAATAGGAAACTAATATGCTCCTTAATCAAAGGTTCCTGGTAAAAAAAATAATGTGCTCATCTAATTAGACTTTCCTGGGGGTGGAATAAAACACAACTTCTATTTATCCTGACAGATATTAAAGAACATAAGTCTTTTCTTCTTCGTAATAGTAGCTTCAATATTTTGATTTTTTTCAACTCTGCTACACTTTACCTGTATTACATGGGAAGAAATTGGTACAACGAGTCTAATTTTCTACACATTTGTCAAGGGTACTTGAACCAGTAAAACATATTTCCAAACAGTCCTTAGTTTCTAACACCAAAAACTGGGTAAATAATCAAACTAAAATGGTATTTCAAAAATCATCATTCTTTATATTAATTACTAACTCATTAATCAATTACTAATTCTGTAATACATATATTAACAGATATTGCTAAGTGATAACTTGTGGATATAAAGGTAAATTTCAGTAAGAATAAAAAAAAACTTTGTTTAGAATAATAAAATAATACCAAATCAGAATCAGAATTACACAATTCCAATGTCTGAAAACTGTAACAGTTGTACTAAAATTTATTTAATGCATTATCTACCAAACTAATACATTTCTAAATGACTGTACAATGCTTTAGACAGGAATAGAAAAGCAATAAGCTGGAAGTTTCAACCATTCCTGTCATGAAACATTTTAAGATTCATGAAATTAAATTGATTTGTGAAATCAGACAGAATTGCTGTGTTTACCTTTCATTAACATGAATGTAACTGTGCTTCTAGACAAAAATATTAATCACATTGATTATCCTGAAGCAATTTCTAGTTTATTACCGAAAGCATAAGTGTTAATTTTCTCAAGTATTCAATAAGACTACCTGTCAAATTGCAAACAACACGATAAATTCTACAAAGTGTGGTGAAACAATAAAATCATTTAAGATAATTGAATATTCCCATGAATTGTATAAACATTAATCTCAATGATGAATCAAGAAGCAAATAATTTAGTGCGTAAAGTTCTTGAATTCTACATCTGTCTCTGTCACTAACAACACTTCTTAAAACCACCAGAAATAATCTACTTGTAACCTCGTCTCTGTTTTCATCGGTTACCACAAAGACTCTAAGTTGCCTTAATTTCCAAAGCTTTAATCTCCTATTGGACCCTAGGCGTACTTGATTTTTGTCCTCTGTTATTACCCACCCCTGATTCCTAAATTTTTTCTATTGTGTCCCTCAGAAACCATCATCAGAAGAATGCCTTATATCCTAAAATAAGTCTATGAATATTCTCTTCACTTTCTTCCTTTGACATAACTGGCTTTCTTTCATTTTCCAAGTAGTGGCTCTTGTATCTCCCATAGCCATTGTCACAAGAACTTCTCTATCCACGGAAGTGACTTAAAACCACACACACATGCACACAAATCACATAGCAAAAAGGAAACTCAGTGTATCCTTGATGTGACTTTGCAAGATCTCAGAAATGCCTATGGCCTCTTTCCATTGCCATCCAACAAATGGGGAAGTATTGCAGACAAGAAGTTAGATTGGCCGAGAGTGGTCTTAACTGGCTGCGGTCAAAATTGTTTACTTTTGTAAATATGGCAAAAGCACATATCCCTATGAACCTATTGCTAAAGCCCCTCCCAGGAAATAAGCTCCTGTAATGTGAGGGTGAGGAACTTGGAATTCAAGCCTCATCAGTTCCATGAAGAACCTATGATTGTATGTGTCCCACTCTCTGACCACCACCTTCCAAATTTCCTCCCCATGCCCTCTGGTACCTCCACGACACAGTCTAGTTTTAGCTTCTCACTTTAAAACAATCTCAGACTCATAAAAAGTTGTAGAAATAGTAAAAAACAGTTCCCATGTCTTCTTTCTCAGCCTCCTTAAATGTTAATATCCTACAAAGCCAGTATAATTATCGAAGTATAGTTATGAAAGCTAGGAAATAAAGAGTGATGCAATACTATTGACAACCTTAAACCTTACTGAAACTTCATGAGTTGTCTCACTGATATTTTTATTTTTTAGTATGGAATTTAATCCAGAGTCCTATAATGCATTTGATTGTCATGTTACGTCTAATTTGGGGCAGTTCTTCATTTTTTCTTGGACTTTTATAAACTTAACACTTTTGAAGAGTATTGGCCATTTATTTTCTCAAATGTCCTGCAGTTAGGTTTGGCAGCATTTCCTCATGATTAAAATTAAGTTGTGTATTTTTCAAACTAATGTCACAGAAGTGGTGCACCCTTCTCAATGCATCATATCAGGTGCTACAGGATGTTGGTTTATCCCATTATCGCTGGTATTTACTTTGATCATTTGTTCAAGGTGTTACATGCAGATTTCTCCACTGCAAAGCTAATATTTTATCTGTGTAACTAACATGTATCTTGTAGGGAGGGAGACTATAAATATTCCGTTTCTCATCATATTTTGTCAACTAAGTTTAGCATCCATGGATGACTCTGGCTTGTAACAATTACTACTGTAATGTTTGCCAAATGGTGATCCAAAACTCTCAGTCCTACTGGGACCTCCATTCCACTGATCTTTGCAATGCTACCTTATCCTCAGCATTTTATTTTCCTCACTTCACTTTATGTGTAGCTTAAATTCAATTCTCCATCATTATAATCACCTCCTTTCCTGTATCCTTAGCTTATTTTCCCTTCATTTGTATCACTGTATTTCCTATTAAAACCATAGCTCTTCACTACTCTTTGCCTGAAACTATGGATTTGAGATTTGCTGATAAAAACACATAAGCAAATTAACTGGTCTCTTTTAAAATAATGTTTATTACCCCAAGAAAATCCCTAATATGGTCAGGTAATTTTACTATGTCTTTCTAGTTCATTATTACTTTACAACTCTTCACACTTCTCTTTCTCCTTCTCCATTTCCCCTCTGAGCTGATAACCTGCTTCATATTTTCTGAAAAAAAATATGAAGCAATCTGATCAGACCTTCAACCATCTCCCACCATAATATCTACTTGCTGGCATCTGCACTCACACTGGCTCCCACACTTACCGTAGATGAAGTTTCTATGTTTTAATACCATGTATAAAAGCTTATCCTTTTTCATCTACTCAAGCACATTGCTCCAGCAGTTTCTCTCACTTTTGTGTCATCAAAGTTTTGTCTATATTGTATCATGTCATCAGCTTAAGTTTTATTACTCCTATCTTTAAAAAAAAAATAATTCCACTTTTTCCACCCATTGCCAACCCCATTACTTTGCTCCTCTTTATAGCAAAACTCTTCAAAAATTGTTTTCTATGGTTACTATTCCCAATTCTTCTCCTTCTATTCTCTCAAATCTGCTTCACTCAGATATTTGCCTCTATTGTTCACCGAAACTGATCTTATAAAATTCATCAAAAACAATCACATTACAAATTCACAGTTCGTTCTCAGTACTCTTTTTGCTTCACATTCATCACAGTGGAACATTCCTCCCCGCATGCCACAGTGTGTTCACTTACTGCCAAAGGAAAACGTTCTTCTGTGTGTTTCTTCTATTTGATTAGTTGTTCTCCCTCCATACCTTTTTCTCATTCACCCCTTCAGATGTTGAAGTGTCCCACGTTTTACCCATTCTCTTGATGATCTCATTTATTCTCATGCCTTTAAATGCCATTTATATGGTGTATTAGTCTGCTTGGGCTGCCATAACAAAATACCATAGACTAGATGTCTTTAAAAAGAGAAATTTATTTATCAGCGTTCTGGGATGGGTAGGTTATTAGAATTGGGCAGGACGAGGGCCTTTAGCTGTGTAACAGGATTACTGGAGCCAGATTAGCTGTCTGCTGACTTCCATGGGTTGGGCTACTGAAGTGAGATTGCTGTTCATTGACTGAAGTTTGGAAGCCAAAGGCGTAAGTCACTGTTTGGGCATCTGAAATGCAGCTCCTAAAGCTTCTAAAGTAAGTTGCCATTTATCATTGAGATGAACCAGAAAGCTGGACCTGGTGTTTGCTTGTTAGGATGCCCAAAATACAGTCTTTTCCTGGGAACACAAGAATCTTTTACTCTTGTGATACTAAATGTTAATATTAGTTAGTAGTCAATTTATAAATATTATACAGTTTACTTTTCAGAAAATCCTTTAAGAATATGAATTATTAAAATTTCCTTTCTTTTTCATAAGAAAGCTAAGACTTATCTTGCCCAAAGTCACATGACTCATAAGTAGTAGAAACAGGATTAAAAATGATTTTATCTCCAAAAAAATAATCAGGACATATGCCTGAGTCTACATTAATTTAATGAAGAGTAAAATACACTGAGTCATCAGGAAGCCAGGCGTAGCTGTAAGCATTGAGAATACTAACTGACGCAAAACACACAAAGTCTCTGTTTTCCTCCAACTAGCACCTTTGCTAACTTTTGCTGATATTTACATTCTAAGCCTTTTTCCTGCCAACTTCAAGATGTCACCTGCTAAATCATTCTCCCTGGATTAGGTCATTTTTGTATAAGTCCTTTGCCCAATGCTTTACCCAAATCTTTAACTTTCTACCTGTGAACGGGGCTATCCTCTACTTTTTACCTTACCTCTGAAAAATCAGATTTGCATTTGACAACTACACTTAGTTCAGATGGCCGAGGGTTAAAATCATAGCTTCAAGTTCTAATGCAATAATCGATGATTTTTTTTTGTTAGAGTAATTTAGTACCCATTTTTAAGGGATCCAAACTAAGTTTGTTTTTACCACATACTTCAATGTAAGGTGCAATTTTTCTCAAAAAACCAAGCAGAATTAGTTGCCTTATATTCAAATCCATACAACTTTTTTTTATATTACAAGTCACATTCTCAGTTTATTGTGAACAAACAAGAGAAATACATTAA